TGTTCAAACACTATGCTCAGAGTCAGTATTAAAAAGCCATGGAGAACTAGAAAAAATCATAGAATTTTATATCTTATTCCAATCATTACAAATACCAGGTACAATGAGACTCTTGTAAAGGGAAAACTCTCATAGCACATCTTTTTAAGTGATTTTTAATGGGTTGTGAGCTATAGGGCTGAGGACATGTTGGAGTAAAGCAATGTTTTCTTCCCTCAGGTTGTCTTTAACTATTCATAATTAACTTTTATCACTTTCCATTTGACTTTATGTAATTTAGACATTTCATCAAATCATTCTATTACTTGCTAATAGTGCTTTTTGAAGGAATGGTTTGTATAATTATATTGCCCTTTGGTCACAAACAGGGATACACTAACATTGACTATCTGGATTTAGTTTATTTTGTCTTTTGGAATGTCAAAAAACCAAATACTCACTTCCTGGCACTATTGTGTAATAAGTGATTATATAATTGTGAAGGTTATTATCATTTTTAAACAGCATAATAGATTTAGTAATAAGGAGGCATGTTGTTCAGATTTACTATAAATAATTGACTTTCAAATATAGTTAAGCATTCTAAATGTATCTTCCAATAAAAATCTCTTTACTTGTTTTAAATTTGAAAACATATCAGTCAGTTGCTTAGAAATGTCTATTATTGAAAGATTGGATAATTAATAATGACAAGCTGTTAAGCTAGAGAAGGGTCCCCACACGAGGCAATTTTTTTCGCCAAGGGACATTGTCAATGCCTGGAGACATTTTTGGTTGTCAAAACTGGGGGAGGGAAATGCTACTGGCATGTAGTAGGCAGAGATCAGGGATGCTGCTCAACTCCCTGCAATGCACAGGACAGCACCCACAGTAAGGAATATCTGGCCCCAAAAGTCAAGTTGTTGAGGCTCAGAAATGGAACTAGAGGGATCCAAAGTCTAGGGCCAAGATCATTCAGAATAAATTAGGTATGTCTGTCCAGCCAGAGCTACAACTACTAAGGAGATACCATTTATAGAAGAAAGAGGAGGAGGGATACGGCCTAGCTTTTGCTTCCCTCTGTGTAGTGAGGTAAATATGAGCACTATATGGAAAGACTAAGGTGTTTTTCTATGAATATACTGAAGTCTCCACCTAGCCTACAATGTCCATTAGAAAAAAGGTATCTTCTATG